ATTATTTTTTCTTATTTTAAATGTAGATTCTCTTGTTCCATTGGCAAAGTTTCTCACTTACCTCCTTAATTCAAGAAAAAATTCACTTATTTTAAGAAAAAAATGACTTATTGGGATTATATTTTTTGCAGTGTAGGCATTCAGCTTACCTGTAACCCCGTAAAGTTACAGGTAAACTGAGTGGTACCTGTTGCACAGTGGGTCAACAACAAAGAAGAAGCAGTACAGAAGCCTTGTGCAACTTTTTGTGGATTTTTTTTTTTTTTTTACCTGGATTATTAAGATGCAAAAAGACTGATTACTTTTGAATAAAGTTTTTTTTCTATTTTATTCAAAATGTAAATGAATGACACACCTATTGCCTCAATGACCAGAGTGTAGACCGCCTGAGTCTCTCTGTCCAAGCCCACCACAGTCCTAACGATGCCGTCTCGGAAGCCAACGCTGAATTTTCCATCTTGATTCCCACCTAAAAAAATCAAACACAAATCCAGGTTTTAAAAAAAGCAATGAAACAGCAATTCAGTTCTTAAAGAGATATGCACAGATATGCACAGACATGGATAGATGGTAGGCAGTGAAGCTTCACAGTACAATAGATCGGTTCATTTAATCGTGCAACACTCTAAACCCACAAACGTGTGACCGCTGTGACCTCTGACCTGTGATGAAGTAGCTAAGCTCTGCGTTGAGACCAGCATCGTTGTCAAAGCAGACGAGGCGCGCAACGATGTGGTCTCTGGGGACACTCTCCATCAGGGAAACATTGTAAACTCTGGGGTTGAAGGTGGGCGTCTCATCATTTACATCCAGAACTGACAGACACACAGACAGAGACACACAGATAGATGCACATGAGGACAAGTAAGGCAGCAGGGCATGGCAGTGAGAAGCTAACCTAACTGGGTTAACTGGATAACTTAGATAAAATAACGTACCGCCTGTTTTAGTCAAAGGTTTAATGTTTTATGAAGCAGAATATGAAGCTACAGCAGATTGAATTACAAATTAAATATATATAGTATGAAATAGTGTTCTATCAAACTGGTCCTATAGTCTCTCTATTACAGATGGAGTAATGTAACTAAAGTAATTTCTCCCTGGGATTATTAAAGTATTTCTGATTCTAGTTGAATGGACAGGTGTTGTGAATGAAACGGTGCCCAGCTTGAAACATCCATATTGAGATTGGATCCCAGTTTAGTTTTTTTCAAAAGAAATTGCTCTAATGTTTAAAGCTGAATGCATCAGTGTTTTGGTTCTATTCCAGATTTTATAGAAAACTGTAATTTTATCTTAAATTAAGTCAAAAATATATAAAATTCCTAAATTATGAATGTATATTGACCTAATAAGAAATATAATTTGGATTAAACCTAATATATTATTATATATTATAATATATTAAACCTTAATATATTTGAATCCCTTGCCCTGTTTTTTTTATTTCATTATTTTTTGTGCCCCCAGGAAAACCAAGCTGGCCCCCTGGTACATTTGGTCTAGAACCGCCACTGGCATTGATGACTGAAAGACATCTTCTGCCTCCACTTATCTGTTTACTACAGTGTGTTTAATTCATGTTAATGTGGATTTAAAGACATTTTAATTAGTGGAAAAAATTGCGGGGGGAGGGGGATATAAAAAAAAAAAAAAAGTCTAATCAACCAAAACTTTCGCGACCCCCATGCAGTACCTCTGGGGACCCCCTAGGGGTCGCGGACCCCCTGTTGAAGACCTCTGAATTACACAATGAGGTGCAGCTTTTCTGCTTCTAATTTAAAAAGTTTTGAAGCAGATTGTGAACATTTCTAGAAAAACGGGAGTTTAGGTTTTTTGTTGGGTTGGAGCAGACAGGTATGTGAGGACAATGCCAGGGTGGAAAAACAGCAACGACCTCAGAGAGGCAACGGCTGCTGCTCATCAATCTGGGAAGAATTGGCGTTTCAAAGGCGTTTTCAATCGGTCCTTTCTTCCGTTTCAAACATAAATACTTAAACCAAATTAGTTACAGTATTTTTTGAATGACTTGAAATACTTCGATCATTCGATCAATAATAAAGAATCAACTGAAAAACTTCGCAGAAAGAAATATTTCACCCAATTTTAAGATTTATGTAAATTCATAAAAAAAAAAAAAAAAAATCTGTTTACTTTCTTTTAGATATTTGTACCACAAAC